GTGGCAGTCAATAGGGTACGCATAGCCGTGATGATTTTCAACCTTCGGTAGAAGATGAAACTTAAAGAAGAAAAAAAAGAAGTTTTGTTTACACTAGAATTTCAAAGTTCTTTGGTCATATCTATCAAAGCTATCACAAAATGGAGTGGTTGGTGGTCCAAGGAAGACCTTAAAGTCAATGCGGCAAATCGCCACAACGATGGCATACATTATACCAACAGTATACTGAGGGAGTACATGTAACAAATAATCGCGACCAGTGGAGAAATAACATCAATCAAACTATCCGAGCTGCTGAAGCTCAATGATGAACCACAACACATCTGCTACGATGTTGTTGACTGTGACGATTATTGTGGTTTGTTAATAAATCAATTTATTAAAGCAACTGCCTGGGTGGCGCAGTGGTAAGAGCGTCAACTTCTTTTTTAAGTGCGGTCTTCCAATCAGTGGTTGGATATCATCATCACTATCTTTACTATATGTACCGCTGAGTTCTAGAGTTCTAGTGAACTGCATCTAACCCATTTCCTTAAATTTTTCAACCATGGCACTCCTTCTTCCTATACTTCTTCCTCTTTTTATCTTTCCTTGTATCGTCAACTTACATAGCGTAGAGATCATACGTCACACAAAGTATCTTCTTTTGTCGGATCCGTTCTTTCTCAAGATACCGAAGTCGTTCGGGTATAATAAGCGATACTTTGTAAAGATAATGAAGCCGATGTTAGTTAGTAATAAAGTAATTACTGAACACACACTAACTAGAACATACACAATTTACAATTAGCCAAATGGACAAAGTACGACCGATTTATACGGGTATTATGTGAAAAAATAGTTAACGTTTGTATATATTTATTGAAAAAAAGAACGTAATTAGAGTAGTGTGTACTATATAAATAACGTAGGTTAGGATTTTAGCCACTTACATAGACATACATATACATAACCTAACTAATTGATGATAATAATTTTCGCGGAAATCCATACACAAGCTGTCATCCAAATACTCAACACTATCGTTGAGCAAGTGACGTCCTTCAGATAACTGACTGCGCCATTGAACAGCAGTTGCGATTCTACGAAAGAAATTCTATCAAGAATTGAATCGGCTAAAAAGATGCTTATTGGCAATAAGAACTTCTTTATCAGAAGTGACCTAAACCTAAACTGAAAATCCGTATGCTACGTTGCCATGTGTTTTCGATCTTTCTCTACAGCTGCGAGAGCTGGACCCTCAATCCTTGGTTAGAGAAACGCATCGACGGCGATGCTTTCAAAATGTACCGTTATAGGAGAATACAACGTATTTCATGGACGAAAAGAAAAACAAAATCCAAACTTCTTAATAGAATGGAGAAGAACAAACAGCTGCTGCAGACGATCAAAGAGCGTAAGCTAATGTACAACGGACACCTAATGCCGGGAATAGATATGAAATACCTTCTTCGGTTAATCATTGAAGGCAAAATTCAGGGGATGAGGTCAATGGGAAGAAAACAGGCTTAAGGATGTACTCCGATTGCTCGGCAAAACATCATCCGAAATTTTCAGAGCCGCCATTTTACGTTTGCCAATTGGATCGTCAACCTTCGAAGGTAGACATCGCAATGAGAAGAGGAAGAAAACGTGGCTGATTTTAAATCTAGTTTAAAGCTAAAGAAAATGATTTTAGATGTAGGTACAACCATAGCTGCTGTTTGAGCTAAATAGCTTCTTATTCAAAGTAACTGTCATATCCAAAAAAGTGCTTACAAAAGTTATATTACGATTATTAACATAATAAATGTAGTTGGTTTGGAATTATTTAATTATTATTGTTAATTAAACGCAATTAACATTGTGAAGGCTGTATAAAGATAGAAACATTTTAAAGTAATGCCATTAAAACGGTTTGGAACTGCAAAAAGTACCTTAAGCATCTGAGGAAGCAAAGCAAAGTACTTATGTTATGGTAAGGCATACAGGAATTATTGTTAACGAGATTGCTGATAGTCCTGCTAAAGAAGGAGATAGTACTCCTTTTATCGGACCAGAACCATTCTGCGATATTCTGAAAAGCCGCAACGTGAAAGATATAAAAAATGGCAAACATAACTTCTCATTAAAAAGAGACGTCTATTTGGAAAATATTCGAAGTCAAAAGGAAGAAGGTTATTAAACTCTTTTCTTGCTATTTAAAAATACTAAGAATCAGAAAATTAAATTCAGGGTAAACATAGGTATTCTCACACACTGTAAAATGGACGAAGTGAACAGAGAAACATGTAGATTCTGCAAAATTGCAGAGAAAACGGCCTAAAATATTGCCTGTAATTGAAGAGTAATTGTTTGCAAACACACTCATAAATACTTGGAACATGTTTAAAAAATGATCTTCCGAAATATAAAACAGATATTCTTAGAAGTCCACAACTTTTGGATTGGAATATAGATGTATTACATAGCTACAATATATGGTAGGTTGTAGGAAAAGTCTACGATAACTAACTACCCCTATGAGATCTACAATCTACAGTCTACAAGTAATGCAGCCAATTAAGGCTAAATTAAATACAATGAAAGGCATGTACAAATGTTTTTATTAAATGCAGTTCAAAAAGTACAAAACAGATGTTAGTAACAAGATTTCAAAGCTAGGTTGACAACATAATTCACAAAAAACAGGTATTCTGCTTAACCCCTCGTGCTCATGGTAAGCGCCAGCTATTAGACAAAAGTCGTGAGTTCGAAGCCCACTGGATACAAATTTCGTCATTCAATTTAATAAAAACATATAGGTAATAGTTCAGTGATAATGCGTCAACTTATAAATATATAAGAAGACGTAATTAGATAGATAAATATATAATATTCCGTGTACAAAGGTATTGCCATTTTTACCAAGATCGTGATATCCATAATTATTATGTGTATAAAAATTTAATACCAATGACAATTATTATTAAAAATGGTATCCTTATTAAGTTATCAATTAAAAAAGTTAAGAACAAAAAAAGGATACCAAATGGGAGAAAAACAACTTAAAATAATCTGCTATGCAGACGACGCAATACTACACTCTCAAAGTGAAGATGTTTTACAACGTATGCTGCATCAATTTAATATAACCGCCAGAAAATTTAACATGTTCATTTCCCCAACAAAGACAAAATGCATGGTTACAACAGCAAATTTACTAAGATGTAAATTGGAGCTAGAAGGTCAGATAATAGAACAAGTGATGGAATTTAAAAATCTAGGCATCACATTTTCTAGCTACGGAAAGCTCGAACCGAGTGGAAGATCAAGTGAATAGAGCACAGAGCAAACGATCATATAGCCGAATGACAACAAATAGAGTAGTAAAGACGGCAAGAGACTGTTCCCCTAATAGAAGACGATCAGTAGGAAGACCAAGAAAACGATGAAATGACAACTTACTGGAGGCACATTGAACAACAGACATGTCTATATAAAAAGATGAAGAAGAAGAAGAACTAAAAAAGTTTGTTTGGTAGGTGTGGATTTTCTTTTACATCCCAGTAATATCCCCCAATTAAATAGTTTATAAATAAGATACAATATAAGATCCTGAAGTATAAATAGGAAAGAAAGAACAAAAACGACATGAACAGATATAGCCATCAACAACAAAATTAAAAGAAAAGTTGTAAAACCAAAAGACCAGCTCAAAGATAAATGTTCAGAGATTAAAATGTCACACACAAAACTCAATACATTCGGTACTTAATCCTAGATCAAGAGAAAATAAATCATGAAGAAAAATGACCCATGAGTAATAATTGTGCAGATCCAACAAATAAAATGAATGAATTATCATTAGATCTAAGAGTAGAATAACAGATAACGAATACCATAACAAACCCGGCCATTATTTAGATGAAGTTGAGGCAGCAGTACTTTCCCCGGAAGGCGAAAAAGCTTCTGTTTTAGATGCAGTGCAGCTAGAGATCATCAAACACTTCGACAAAACTTTTAAGAACGAGTTAATTATCAGATTCAATGAGATATACAACAGTGAAAATACTCAGAATAGTTAAGATCGGAGTTAATAGTTATTTCTTAAATGCAAGCGGCCAAAATCTTCAGTAGTTACAGAAGCCTTCATAATATCAAATTATTTAAAACGCATAATTTAATTTTAAGGGTTGTTTCAAATTCAATCGGTTCTGATGCACATGAAGATATCTTCATGTGGTGAATTCAGAGTAGCAAAAAATAACATTAGAGAGAATGCACGCCAGCATTTAGTGACGGTTAGATACTGGAACCGTGTTTACATTTTCTAAACGTTCTACACTTCAACACCTCATATAACAGGGTGTGATCGCCGAAGGAGAGGCCCAGACCGAAAAGAACATCCTGGCTCCGAAATATCCGAGAATGGTATCAAGAGACCATCGCTAATATATTTAGAGCAAACAAAGTTATTATTGCGAATATGATCGCCAATGTTCGATAATCGGACTGAAAGAAGGAGACACTGGAAGATGAAGTCCACTATGACTGCAATAGGTCTGTTGACAGAAGTATTCAACAAAGGGCAAATAACTAATATGACAGCTAATAATCCAACGAAACGAGATACTGTTCTGGAACTATTTTTGTTTTTATCAAATATCTTCTAATAAAAGATAAATGATTCGAAGTATTTATTAAAATGCAAACAGTTTCCAATGCGGCCGTCCAAATGGAATTTTTTTTTATTTTCTAATTATTATTAACAAAATTTTTAATAAAAGTCCATAATGGATAGAATGAAAGACTGTTTTGAGACCGGCTACAAGAAGCATTGATTTTAAAATTGCAAAAATTTTACAAGCTGGAGGCCAAAACGTCACATACAGGATGCATTTCACAATTATTGGATAAAATATCTACTCTGACAATTATTTGCAATAAGTATTTTACATTTTTATTTTATCCATGGTGCGTCATGTAAAATTCCCTCGATTACGTATCTAACATAATAAAATAGGATATATTCAACTTACCCTGTCATATTGATGGGCAGCTCCAAAAGGAGAAGTAAAAGGTCCTGTCCTTGGAACAGGATGCGCCGATACTGGCGGAGCAGCTCCAGCCCTTTGATACAAATACGGATAATACGCTTGGTACATAACTTCAGAACAACTCATTATATACATATACACATCGTTAACCGACCGACACTTATTCCAGATCTGAATCCACTCGACCTAATACGGAAAACATCTCGTCGAAATTATCACAGATAACACCAATACACGTTTAGTTTCTCCAAAAGAATCCTTTAAGACATGTCCGTATTATGAGACAAAGATTTTTTCATCGATACATTTACGTTTTTGTGTTAAAATCACGTTATGCTCCAACCCGTGCAAGACTGACTCTTCAACTGAAATAAAAATTCCTCACCCTCGCCTGTAGAAGCCACGCCCTCTCTCCCACTGTGCGCATATCCTAGCACGCCTTCCGATACTGATTACGGCATTCCTCGGCTGGCGGCCAATAAGGAAGGGCGTTTTAAGTGGACAAGCCAATGGGAGTACAGTGTTTAGTTTGGCGTGAGCAGGTTTTATATCAAATAATAGTCCAACAAAGGGTATGGAAGCCATAGGGAATCATTTGAGTTGAGTGATTTGCTCTTCATTATTGTTGGCACGCTTTTTTTAGGCGTGTGTGTCTGTATTTCATTTCATTTTATGGATTTAGTGGATGTTCCGATGTTATGAGAATGGGGTTGTTAGTTGAGGGAATTTAGAAATTTTATGAGTGATGAAATGAGATGAGTTTATTTTCACGCTTGAAGTATTGGAAAAAAATAAATACCAATACACATTTGACACTATATTAGTTTGAACTTTTAATAGACAAATAAATAGATTGGTCAGTTTAAATTTTAGTATTAGGTACCTATGTATCAGAGTACCTAGTTAACTGATAAATTATGTCTGGAATTTAAAGTTTTTTCATTTTGCTATTATAACCCAAAGTTTGTAACATATTTGTGTTTTATTGATATAGATACAATTCTAGACTGGCATTATATTATTACATTCATGTAACGTTTGCGACATCCTCATCATATTGAAAATTTTATATTAGGTACCTATTGCAAGTTTTGACTTGTACAGGGTGATTCATTAAGAATGTACAATCTCTGAGTTGAAAATTCTAGGCCTCCAAATATGATGATTCTGCCCAATATGCCTTATACAAATATTCCGAAATAGCAAATGTCAAAAAATATAGATTTTAAATTTCGCAATAATTTTGCCAATTTAAATTCTACTTTAGCACCGCTAATAGAGGGCGTTAGTTACAATTGGTTGTGTTTAGCAGGGGCGGACTAAGGCCTCGGCAACCTAGGCATGTGCCTAGGGCCCGTAATTTTTGGAGCGCGAAACGTGTCTAAATTATATCGAATCGTTGATTGATAAAGTCGACAATGTTGGACAAGCGTTCCCGTGCTTGTCATGACTGGAAAAATGTACATAAAAAATTTTCAGAGTATGAAAACTCTAGTGACCACATTAACTTCATGACTGTCAGGGACAGGGGTGTATACTAGTTCGCTTCCGCGGTCAGATTTTAATACCCGCCAAAAAAGGGCATAGGTAAATTAGCTCCGGCCATATATTTCTTAGAAAAGATATTTGAAGAATGTCTTCTCAAACTTTGTATTTACCTATTAATACAACACTACCATCATTGTTTAAAAAAGAATGAGTCTTTTTTAAACAGTGCTACTGTATAACACTACTTCTTACTTAAAATATATTAAAATTATAACGATAATGTCACTAAAGTATTATGATGTTAGAGTATATTCACATATTCCCTTGTTTAATATTTGATTGGGTTTTTCCGTATCAGAAGTTACAATTGATATATTTCTTTGAAAAGATTGGTAGGTAATTAGTAGTCTACTTGAAATTTTATGATAAGAAATAGGTAGGGGTGGTGCGAATCTTAAAATTATTACTTTAGTTCCAGTTTGAATGTCAATATACCTAATTCATGTTTGAGAAATCTGAATTAAGTGAAAAGGGCAAGTCAATGTTAGTTATTGATAGTTACAAGTATAACTTCCATAAAATGCTTGATAATAATATCAACAGCTCTAAGATTAGCAGTCGATGCCTTCAGAACCAGTCCTGTAAGCAGCTTACAAGTAATATCAAGAGAGCCCCCTCTACATCTAAGACGACATCTACTTAGTTTAAATTATGCAGCAAGAATATCTTCCAATAAAAAGCACCCATTATATTCTGAGATTATTAACGCACCTACATCCAATTTGTATAGAAACAAACAATATAAAGACAAACCCTTTAGGGAAAGAATCAATCAAAAAGGATTTAATTGCAATGAATTCAAATTATCCATAACTACAAAATTAGACTTTCCTCCATGGCTTACCCCCTTACCTATCACCGATTTAACTTTAACACAGTACCCAAAAAATACCACAAATCCTAACCTTATCATTAACGCATTCAAAGAAATTATGGAGAAGTACCCAAATCACCACATAATATACACAGATGCATCAAAAACTGAAAGTGGCCATGCTGCAGCCTTCACAAATAAAAATTACAAATATGCCATTAGAATTCCACAGCATTGCAGCATTTACACCGGAGAAACCACAGCGATACTAGAAGCTATCAAGAAATCCTCTTCAACGACTGAAAATAATATTTTAATCATCACAGATTCACTGAGCGCAATTCATGGAATTAATCAACTTTACCCTAGCCATCCTATTGCACAAAACATAAGAAATGAACTTAATGCACTACACCATATAAATAAAAAGGTTACATTTATCTGGATACCTTCACACATTGGCATTAAAGGCAACGAGGAAGTTGATCAATTAGCATTAAAATCCATCAAAAATGAAAATGTTCCAGAAATTACTAAATATCCCCACACCGACCATAAACGACAGTCCATGAATCATATAATAAATTTATGGCAAGCAACCTGGGATGCAACAGACTCTAAAGCCGCGTTTTCACGATGGCAATTGGCGAGACAATTGTCATTGGACAATTGTCATCACGTGGTTTCGGATTGTCGGAGGCCAGTCCAGTTGAACGAGAAGATGTTTATACGGGGCCAACTATTGCCATGGCAGTAGACAGCTAAAACATGACAACTATATGTTTGTGCGTCACAGTGTTGCCACATTTTTTTTGTATAAAGTATAGGAGTTTTTAAAATAGAAAGATACTTTAACGAAATTGTATATAATGTTTTAAAAAACTTATACAGAAGTAAAATGCTTCACACTTGTATTTGGGTATATACTTAGATAAATGTGACGTGTTTTACTTCTGTATAAATTTTTTAAACGATGGTATACAGCCAACTACTGGGACTTTCCCATTAATTTTTATATAATGTTTTGTTATGAGAAGCCACAATTTTTGAATTCATATTAAAAAGCATTCATAAAATAGTATTTTTTACTTTAAATATCGCTAAGTATTTAGTGTATCTATTCTTATGTTTAACCTAATTTTTTTATTTTCATTTAACTTTACTTTATTCTGTAGTTTTTAAAGTTTCTAAACTATTAATTTTTACTTTAAGCATAATTTTAATGGTTTTTATTATATAAGTATTTTAAATGTAAGATATAATTTTATTTTATAATATTTATAGGTATAATTTTAAAGCTTTTAATTATATATGTATTTTTCACGTTTTTGTTTAATTATATATGTATTTTTAAATTTTAAATTTTCATTTCATATTTATATAAATCTTGCCCATAATTTTATATATGAGAGTGTGAAATAATTGAGTATATGTCAACACTGACGTATATTAAGCTTACATTTAACGTCAAACATATCTATAGGTTATGTTCATTGTACGAAAATTAAATTTAACCCAAATAACACAAATTACTACTGGCAGCACTACTGGCCTACAGCGTTCACACGGCACCAATTGTCGCGACAATTGAGATTTCGAGTGGTGGAGGGGCTAACTGGGCGCAGCTCATTGTCCTCAGTCTACTTCCGGAGACAACTGAATTTTGGGCCAATTGTGAGGGCAGTTGGCAAGGCAATTGGCCTGAAGTGTTTACACGAAGACAATAATTTCATGCCAGTCAGTTGTCTTCTGACAATTGTCTCGCCAATTGCCATCGTGAAAACGCGGCTTAAGTTGAAAACAATAAAGCCTCGAGTAGACTCTAGCCTACCACAACAAGGTAAAAGAAGAGATCAAGTAATCGTAAATCGTCTTCGAATCGGCCACACAATACTAACACACCAACACCTTCTAAATAAAGAACCAGCTCCAATTTGTACCTACTGCTCTACTCAACTCACGGTGAAGCATCTGATAGTCGACTGTCCGCAGTTCCAACCTCAGAGAACATGCCGAGGAATTAGTGGAAACCTGAGAAGTGCGCTTACGACAAATATCTCGGATTTATTGCAGTTTCTAAAAGACATAAACATTTATAATAAACTTTAATTTAACAAAATGTACTACTGTGTATGTCCCCCCACTAATAACCCTTGGTGGTTAATGTGGGTTTTGTATGTTTAAATAAAAAATAAATAATATCAAAGGTTGACAGTGTGTAGAAAGAAGTTGCAAAGTATTTGTTAAAACTTTAAATATTTGTAATAGTGTATCATTGAAGTTAATACATAGCGAAATTAAACAAACAGGCGCTAAAAGTCTTACTGTGGAAGATCTTCATTTGATTAGAAAAAATATTTATAATGGCAGAAAACAAATTATTCCCAAAATTATGAAGTGCGCGCAGGAAGTAGGTACATGACTCGTTAAACTCCATGGAAGTGACAACCAACCAAAAAGAACAATTTTTATTGAAAAATGATCCGGTAAAAAAATTTGTTGCTTTTTCTTGTGTGTCTAACTTAACATTTTTAAGTAAATAAGAAACAATTTATGTTGATGGAACTTTTAAATACACTAAATTTTTTATTCAACTATTTACAGTTCACGGACTCGAAAATGGACACTATGTGCCGTTGGCATTCTTTTTGATTTCATATAAGTTAATAAACTCATATGTGACTGACTGCCTTAAATTGTTTAAAAGACGGAGAGTCAAAAATTGAACTTAAATTTTAGTCCCAAGGTTGTGTATACCGATTTCGAAAAAGCGATCCATGCAGATGTAAATGAAGTGTTTCCATCTGTGAAAATAAAATTATGTAGGTTACATCTCGAACAATCATGCTGGAGAAACATTCAAAAAGTTGGTCTGGCTACTGAGTATTCAAACGACAATGATGTCGGACAATACCTTAGATATATGTTTGGTCTATCTTTCCTAGATCCATTAGAAGTAGGTGAGTGTTTTGCTTTATACTT